TCGAAAATCACGGTTCACGATCACTGCTTTCGCTAAATCTCTAAATACTACGAGCTGAAGATTTGAGCTCCGAAAATTTTTAAGCTCGATTCAAGAAGCAACAAGTAGGAAGGTTGATTTCAGTTGACTATGGCACAAAACGATTTGACGAATGCGAACAATCGTAAGCAACAGCTCGAGAGCGAGTTGCTGGCCGTACGCTCGGAACTGCGTGATCAGAAGCAACAATTCCATGACGCCAGCAGCCGTATCACGGATCTGCAACGACAACTGCAAGACGCAAATAATGATCGTAGTCGTTTGAACGACCGAATCAGCGGACTCGAGAAGGTTTTAAAGTATTTTGAGGACATTTCCGAGATTATCTTCGAACGCCTCAGTAAAACATCGGAAACCTTTTGCCAGAATCTCCGACAGGAGCTGAGCGATTTCGATGTAGTCTTCAAAGAGGTCTCCCTCTTATGTTTGATTCCAAGAAATCAAAAAAATTACTTCCGTGCCTGTTTTGCAAACATTCGAAATATTTCTAACTTGTTGCTCTCAACAAGCAAAACTCTGCTCTTTAAGAGCAAATTGTGCTGCCGGGATCTTTCAATTATAAGCCGGTTTCATTCTCCTTTTGTTTTCAGACCATTGCCACCCTGAGAAGCACAGAAAGTGATTTGCGTCAACAATTGAGTACGGCTCAAAATGAGCGTAAGATGCTGCAAAATGAGCTGGATGATTTGCGAAGACGTTTGGGACAATGCGAATTGGAGCACAAGACAGCCCATCTCAAAATTGAAGAGCTCACTCAAATCCGCATAACACTCATCAAGAAGATTGAAGTTGTAAGTGGTGCAAATGAATCGATTCCAGCTCAGAGCTGCAAATAGCGGCAAATAGTGGTTCCATTTACACTTAACAAATCTCATGCATGACACAGATATCCTGAATCCATCCTGAAGTCATGACACAGATACGATCGCAAAAAATAGTGGAAACAGAGATTAGACTAGATTTAAGCTGCAAAGATGATTCGAGGGAAGCGCTTGGAAAATCAGAACAGAAAAATCAGAAAAATTATCACCTGATCTACAAAAAATCACTTTGAAATGCCAAACAACTTCTACTCAGTGAGGAACTGCTTGTTTCATAGCTAATTCAAGCTGATCTGCTGGATTTCCTCCACTTATTGAAGTGATTGGGACGACAGAACAGATCGATTGATCACATACAATTTGCATTGTTGAAACTTCACAACCAATCGAATCATTATCCAACTGAACCACTGAATCTTTATCATTTTCTTGATAACTGATAATAGATCAGGAGATCGCATCGTAAAATTCGGCCGAAACTAACAGAAAGTTTAAGACTCTTAGCAATAGTTTCAAATGAACCTCTCTAGCCAATGGTGTTTGCAATTACCACTGGAATTCCCCCCAAAATACCGAATCCCAGCCCCGAGCCTGGCTCATTCCTCAGCCTTATTANAGTGAGAATTTTCATGCAGTTTTTTCACTCACTCTTAAAATTTTCAGTTGGAAGTGGAGAAGCGCTCAGCTCAAGCCGTCATCAACGAGACTGCATCGCAACGTGCCGAAATTGAACGCTCACTAAACGCGTTGGAACGTGAGAATAAAGAGTTGAATCGTAACTGCGTCAACCTGCAGCAACAGATCGCTCAACTCGAATACGACAGTGGCAATCGCCTGATTGAGTTGGCCAATAAGCAACGTGACGAGCGTCAGAAGTTGGTGAACTCGTTGAAGGTGGAGAAGACGCAGGTGGAACGTGCGTTCCAGAATCGTGATCGCTCCTACAAGAGTCGTGTACAACAACTCGAGAGTCAGTTGGCGATGCTACGTGATCAACTGAATGCCGAGCGCATGAGAAGCCGTAGTGCTGCCACAACATCGTTGAATTATGTGACGGATGTTTCGCGAGTGGGTGGCAGCAGTTTCAGTGGTGGTTTGTATTCAAGCGGATTATCGAGAGCCGCTTATCCGCAAACGGATAGTTTCGATTATGTGATTGGAAAGTGAGTTCGATCACTGGAAATTTGGCCATTTCTTTAGCATTTTGTTCAAAAATTTCGCGACTAGCGCGAAAAGCCAACATATAATGATAGATAGTACTTGGCTGCCTGCAGAAAGTGCTATCTGTTAGCAAATCTTGAATTCCAATAGTCTCATCTGCCGTTTCTTTCAGCCAAGCAGCTTTCTCGTCAAGCATGATGACACAGCCGATGGCAGACTATTCATCAGCCGGTAGCGACATCTACAAATCAAGTACAGTTTCTGTTCGCGAAGCTGGTAAAGCTTTTTCATTTTCAACTTAAATTTGCCTAGAAGGGAGATTGAATTGATCGATCACTCATCGATCGATCGATCAGACATTGAACCGAGAAGGCGCGAGTCTCAGGGGCAGCATGCGTCAAAAATACTCAAGAATGAATACTATGACATGTAAACTTATTGCGGGAGCACTCAAGACTGTATCACGACCATAAACTCTAGTAATCGCTCATGCTAGTCGAGAAATTTATTAAATCAAATTTGAGCATCAAATTAAATGATTCAAGCGATACTCATTTATTCTCACGCACATTTTCTACCGAATGTAAGCAACTTAAAAACGACATGATCCGATTTTCAGTAGCAACTCAGCCAATCACTGAAACGTACACGCCCAGCTACCGTACCACTGGTCTTGATCAATCGATTGGCTTGACAAGTGCATTGGGCGAAAGATTCGAACCATCGACATCCTATGATATTGGCGGCGGTGAGGCTGGTGGGTTTTTTTTTGCTTCGCTATTCACTGAGAGCTCGAAATTCCGAGAAATACGGTCTGTTTGACGAATGTGCTCCCGTAACTTCCCATTGCGGGTTGGGGAACTCAACGTTTCCCAGACGGAATTCGTTTCCCAGACAGAAGGTGTCTCCTAGAGTCGTCAGCATAGATTCCGCAAAAGTTGTGTAGGGACAGAAAGATTATCCAGTATTTTCACTTCAAATGCAGTTTCACTCAGCAATCATCTTCACTGATCAGATCAGATTATTGAATCAGGTCCATATACTAGTCCCTGAAGGACTGCTTTCAATAGGCTGGAGCAATTTCAATTGCCTAATATTTGCACACTGAGATCAAATCTTACAATAGATATCCATTGATATGGTTCATGTTTGATGCATCGAACAGACTGAAATGCCCAAATATTCATTTAAGGCGACATAGATACGTCTAGGTGAGGATATCAGAAGATATTTAAAATAGACCACATTTTCCAACAAATTATCGGATACTAAAGGATATAAAAATTAAGCAAGAAGACCAAGGATAAGGATATGAAAAGGATATAAAGGATTAACTAAGGATATAAAAATTAACCAGATACGATTCAAAAATATTTTTCCAGAGGTAACCAAGAAGACTACAGTGACCACGGTGCGTAGCACCCGATCGGGCTACTCGGATTAAGACACGAGCGTCGTCTATCGGCGGTGGTTGCCTCTGCTTGCCCATCGGCAACCATCGTCATTGCTTACAAATGATCAATTTTTTGCTTTGCCAAATCGGACGTCAGCAACTTGGAGTGATGAACACCTTCTTTTTTACCTTTCTTATCATTTCTCACTATTATATTTCTGATCACCGCTCACTCTTCTGATCACTTTCTGATCACACAAA